TGAAAACAAATATTCACTAATATTCTACCTTTACTGTAGGTGTGCACAAACCTATGAATCCAAGCTCATGGAAAATGTTTGGGATAAACTTTGGGAGTAGTGGCTTGGTAGGAATAGATGGATGAACGTTGCCCGTCTGACGAAGTAGGGTATTTGCACCAACGAAGCTTAGCACGCTTCACTTCGCCAAGAGGGGTTGGGTGGTGAAGGTATGAGAGTGAACTTGATTTTCAGAACAGTGCCTTTTGATGTTAACCAAGAGCTTGAAATCCCATGAGAAATCAACCGAAGATGCCATCTTAGTCTCCATCAACAGTCAACCGCCATATTTAATGTAAAGGTGGCTGCACAAATTATGTTGTGTTAGAAAGTGTTGGAAAAGATTCCTCTATGCTTAAGGATTTTCCAATAATCCTACACAGACCTCAGGAACTTTACCAAGATCCTGTGCAGATGTTATTTACTCTGCTGCAGTCAAGTACTTTTCTAGAAAAATGAGTTTCGTGTTGCTAGATGGTTACCAAAAGTGGGCAATCTTCAGTAGATCAGAGATACTTCACTGGGACCAATGGTGCTTCGCTATAACCAACATTGCTTCGCTAGAATCATTGAGCAATTCATGATATCACTGTTGGAAAGCTGCCAACAGTGTCCAAAACCACTTAAAACTTGACAACTTACCTAAATCTATCCATTAGGTCACTATACACTCCGACCTATTAACCCAGAAATTATGAAAATGCCACTGCACATATATATATATATTATTATTGTTCCCTTCATTTCAAAAAAGGAGAAGACATCCCTTCATTTCAAAAAAGGAGAAGACAAACAAGATTTTCGGGGGACATAACTCTTTCTTCCTCTTCTAGACATCCAGATCTTTATTTGCCACATAGCAGCTCCTTCATCCTTATCTCAGCATCACTCGCACACCTAACAGCTCCAGAATCAATTTTTAGCCTCACACTTTCTAAGTCTCTAACATTGCCAAACACCTCTAGATTTGCAGAATATCATGGCTGGAAAATGGCACAACGCAGCTTTTGTGCCTGAGCTACTTTCTTGAGCATCAGATGATCAAGTTGAGAAGTCAGCATCAGAATAGAATAAGGTCACCTTTTTGCAAGCCCCTAAATGATCATCATTCGTTCTCCCATCACTACTCTCAAGTTTAGCCTTCGAGAAAAGTTTCAAACAGAGAAGTTGTTGTGTTGTGTCATCATGAGGATTGTCCAATATGAAGTAAGGGTATTTACTAGGGATTGTAGAGGGCACATTCATTGTCATTATTTTGATGTCATGATTGTATACATGTAAATGCACCCCTTAAGTTATGATGTTTAAACTTCAAAAAATGTTTTATTTCTAGTGCTCCTACCATAATGCACTTCTCCATTGGCTGCTTTTAATAGTTGTGTAATCACTCTTGATTACAAATATCCTATTGTCCTCGTCTAGCCCTCTTCCTTCTTCTCACGGCTTGGTTGAAGAAACTGTATCATCAAACTTGGTTGGGGAGTTTGGCACCAACCGCATCGTTGGGTAGATTGAAATGGCTCGTGGCACATAGCATTTTGCACGTGAAACGAGTGCTGCCAAAATAACCCTCCTCACCTTTCTCGGGTGTCATCCTAGTAAGCTTCCACAACACTACCATCGCTAACTCATCAATCTACATCATCAGCGCAGCCCCAACACCTTTCAATTCCCATTTTTAGGTGTCTAGATTCTTTTATATCATGCCCATGATCTCTATGAAACGTGCAAAATCGCTCCTTATCCCTTCTATTTGGATGTGTTGACTGTTTTGCCAACCATTGTAGTTTTTTTGTCCTTTTTGTTGTGTCAGAACCTTTGTTTTGCTTGTATTTAAAGGTGTGAGCATTGTGTATCCCCTGAATCCTTTTTGTCCTTTGAAATTTCTATTTCTCAAGTTGTATTTTTTTTGCCTCTTGTCTCTGTAGCTATATTTGATCTCTTCTTTTTCTATTTTTCGCTTTCGAGTTTCTTCTAATGCTTTGATAATTTGTTATTGTGCTTCTTTAACTATTGCTCTTTCTTCTACTTGATATACCCTTCTACTCTTTTTAATAAATCATTAAAGCTAGTTGGTTCTCGTTTATTTAAAGACCTCTAGAAGCTTGAATATTTTAGGCCATTCATTAAAGCATGCATTGCTACACTTTGGTCTAGCTTTTCCACTTGCAGAGCTTCATTATGGAATCTTACTATGTAGGCTCTTAATGATTTGTTAGTTTTTTGTTTGATTGTCAACAAGTGATGATTGGTTTTCCGGGGAGTTCTGGTAGCCATAAAATGATTAATAAACATATTTGCAAATTGATCGAAGGTCCAGATAGATCTTTCAGGTAATATTGTGAACCAAGCCTACACTGCTTTCCTAAAGGTTGTAGGAAATTGTTTGCATAATAGAGCATCAAAAGCTCCATAAACCATCATTGCCATCCTAAATCCCTATACGTGCTCAACTGGATCCTATGTCCTATCATATTCCGCCAATTGGGGAGTTTTAAAGTTTAGTGGCACAGTTTCTTTAATGACGTCATTGGCGAAAGCCTTTTCTATTGAATTTGTGTGTATTGTTTCTGAATACCTTTGTCGTTTGGCTTCTATTTGTGTTACATATTGACGTAGTGCATCTATCTCCCTATATATGTTTTCATCCTTTGGTGGTGCTATTGCAGGGGATGCTCCATAATTTTGTGGTGCATCTTTCCTTTCGTTTGTTTATGTATTTGTCCGCACGTCTCTTTCCTAGATTTTGTACTTAATGAAAGCAAAGGATGGTTGCAAATATGAATCAATAGTTGGCTCTGTCTATCTTGAAGTTATGTAACTTTCATCATCATAATTACTCTTTCCACACAGTAAAACCTCCACCCCTTTAAGATGCTGCCTTATGCTTCTAGGTGGTGAAATCCTCTGCATTCTCTCCTAGCACCTCAAATTCTATGCTTGAGTATTTGTTGTGTTCGTGAAGGACGCTATGGCTTTTTTGATTGCCTTCAAGCTTTGCCTTGTTTCCTCCATATCCTACATCGGTTTTCGCACTTGTGATGCTATTGATAGAGCTCTTGGCTTAGATCCGCCTACAACATCTTCGAAATTCGTTCTTGATGAAGAAGAGGTGCTCATTTCTCTGTTATTTCCAAAATTTTGGATGTCATTAGGAGGTGTTGATGAGTGTCCTAAATTCTCCATGTGGTATTCATGAGGGAATAAGAATTTAGCCCCATGGAGGGTGCCAAATGTTAACACTAAAAAATAAGAAAGAAAGTATGGAATCGAGAACTTTATTGATCAAGAATAGAGAGAATTCAAAGGGGAGAGAAAGTAGAGAAAATAATCTACCTCGGGTTTATTCTTAAGGTATTTATAGGATGTCGACATAAAATTTTGCTAGGAATACAACTCTATTTTGATTGGTGTTTGGGAGGTCTATTTCTAATGGAATTGGGTTTATCTTATTCTTGGTAAGAGTCTTCCTAAGATATTTTCATATGTCCTAATTCTCATAAGACTCAATTTTAGGTATAACAAGGATCATATTTGGTTGGTTGTAATATCCTTGATCAAATTATAAAAGTAAGGGTAGAAGATGCAAATTGTCCTCCAACTTTTTTGAGTTCAAGCAAATTAACATCTAAAAATATAAATTGAAGCAAATCGTCACACTAAATTTCATTTTAAAAAATAAACTCAAATTTAACAATTGACAACAACGTAACTACTTTTTTTTTTTTAACCATTACACTAGGAGTTTAACGAGAAATTGATATTAATTGTTAAATTTGAGTTGATTTCTTTTAAATGAAATTTTTAGCGTCTTGATTTGCTTCAACTATTTTATTAGGTGCTAATTAAAATTAGTAAAAGTATATGAAAAATTAAAAATTAATTGAGAATTATAAAATTACATTTTTTGGTAAATAGTATGTTTGGGTTGAGAAGAGGGGAGGGAAGTAGAAGATTTTTTAATCTATTAGATTATAATATTTAAAATATTATAATTTGATTAATTAAAAAACTTTTTCCTCACCTCCCTTCCTCTCAACCCAAATATATTAAAAGTGTTTTACAAAAAAAAAAAAAAGAAAATTATGCAAAGCATTAGCAAATGATGCTTAAACATAAAGTGAGCTGCTCTACCTTTTAACTAATTTGTTATAGGTTGGATACTCATCTTTTATTTTGATCCATGTATGTCCATTTCTCACACCCGGAGCTACTCTACCTTCATAGCTAATTTATTTTACGTTGGGTACTCATCTTTTATTTCAATCTATATGTCCAATTTTCACACCCTACACACATCTGTTTCGGAGCCAATTGCTCCATACATTGCTTCTGCTAAGACTACTCCATAGGCATTGCGCACTATGGCTAACTTATAAAAATAAACAAATATATTAATGATATAAATAGTCTAGTAACAATCCAAATTTAGGTTGCATGATATATTAGTGAGATTAGTTAAGAGATAGAAGAGAGTTGTCTTCTAATGTATAACCCAAGATCAAAATAATAATAATAATAATAATAAAATATGAAAGTGTTTGGATATCATAATTATTTTTATATATTTATTTTTTTATTAAAAATTACAAAATAAAACAATTCTCTCTTATCCTCTTTCTAACTCCACTTGTATGCTTATGTTTACACCTAAAATAAACCAATAGGGTAAGGCCACGTGTCAAGGTAAAGCCCAATTATTAAGAAAATCAATGGGCTGGATTTGGGCTGGGCTG